CCATGCAGTCCAAATAATAGATAACAAAATGAAATCTTCAGATTCACAAGGAGGTCCTCTCCACAAAAGGTCGACGTTTTCAAAGAACATAATTTACCTCATAAAAAAGAAAAAGGATCTTTCGACTTGGCTCTATCTTTGAAAATCCAAATATTCGTCTTCGCTCTAGGTCAGGTGAGAAAACAAAAAATATTGGTCCCCCCTTTTAGTACCTCCCCCACAACGGTAAACATTTTGAATAACCACAGCGCTCAAAAAATGAGAAATGAGCATCCGACACTCTCTTAACATGGTACATCACAATAGCTCGTGTGAAGATGGATACATCGACCAACTCCCTTTTTTACCTCTTCCACAAAGGGTCAACATTTTTATACCCTCCACCTTGGAAAGGAGGGTATATTAACTTAGTCATTCCGTTTGTAACATCCTTAAATATTCGTCGTAGACCCCACAAAGTATATATATTCATAATCAGCATAAAATCCTAAGTCGATTTAACGATGTCCGTCTGTCTGTCCGTCTCTCTGTCTGTCTGTTGAAATCACGATACAGCCCACATTATTTGACGTAGAGCGCCAAAATTTAGCAGAGCAATTGGTATTAAGTCTAGGATGGTTGGTATTGAAAATAAGATATATCGGTCCACGTTCCATATAACGGTACCTCCCGATATTCGGTATTTTGATGATTTATGCCACATTTTTTCAGGGATTTGTCTGGAAATTGGTATTTGTAGGTCATAACGGGTCCCTGTACGTGTGGCAAAACATTGCATGTATGGGTCCATGATTTGGTATAGCCCCAATATAATGGTACCTCCCGGTATTCGGTATTTTGATGGTTTTTGCCACATTTTTTCACTGATATGTCTAAAAATTGGTATTTGTGAGTCATAATGGGTCCTAGTTCGTGTGGCGAAACATTATATGTATAGGTCCACGTTTTGGTATTTTGATGATTTTTGACACATTTTTTCACGAATTTCACTGAAAATTTGGTAGTTGTAGATCATAATGGGTCCCAGTTCATGTGGCGAGTCATTGTAATTATAGGTCCACGTTTTGGTATAGCCCCCATATAACGGTACCTCCCGATATTCGGTAATTTGATGATTTTTGCAACATTTTTTTCACGTGTTTGTCTGAAAATTGGTATTTGTAGGTCATAATGGGTTCTAGCTCCGTTGGCGGAACCGTGCATGTATAGGTCCACGATTTGGTAGAGCCCCCATATAGCGGTACCTCCCGATATTCGGCATTTTAATGGTTTTTGCCACATTTCTTCTAATATTTCCTTTACTCTAAGGTGGAGGGTATTAGAAGTTTGGCCCGGCCGAACTTAATGTTTTTTTTTACTTGTTAAAAATTATAACCCTCATAAAATGCGAATAGAGTTAGTGATTGTCTTCAAACTTCGTATACATCAATATTATTACAAGACACGTAGATATGAAATATATCGCTTCAAACTTTCTGATACTCATAGGGTTAAAGTGTGGAATGAACATAACTCTTATCACATGCTAATCAAGTCAACGATTTTCTCCAAACTTGGTACAGAAAAATATTTTTGCCAACCATATAATGTGGAAAGGGGGTATTTCGGTTCATTTCTTCTCATACCTCACCCTCAAAGGATCAAATTTTGTAAAAAAAATATATATATAACTCTTGTAAACGCTAAAAAAAAAAACCTAAAAAGGGGTCAGAATGGGGTCCAGTCTTTATGGTTGGTCAAAAATGTTATACATGAATGGTCAAATACCGGACGTAACTCCGCCATGCGAATCTATAAATTTTAGACAATTCCGTTGAATTTAAAATTCCTAAAATATTGACTTACCATTATTTAAGCGGCATGTAAAAATTCTTAAGCTGTGGGCTATAAAATTAGGAAATTTGTCTATGACCTTCGAAATGCCTTTCGCCATAGACCTACCGTTAACATTTGTTGCGAGATATATTAAGATATCTAATATAAAATTATAACTAATTCAGCATAAACAAGTAAAAAAGCAGCTGAGTTCGGCCGGGCAGAACTTTTAATACCCTCCACCATTTGGAAGGAACTTGAAAAATTTCCAAAAATTTCCGGAAATTACCACTTAAGTGAAAACTGTTATATGGACACTATACGAAGACGTGGACCTGTACAGACAATTTCTGTGGCTGTAGCATCCATTACGACATTCAAATACCAAATTTGAAACAATTCCGGTGTGTAATGTAGCTAAAATCATCAATATACCGAATATAGGGAGGTACTATTATATGGGGGCTATACGAAGACGTGGGCCTGCATACAAAAATTATTGCCACAGGATGAAGTACCTATTACGAACTTCAAATACGAAATTTAAAATAATTCCGGTAAATAATGTCGCGAAAATCATGAAAAAACCGAATATCAGGAGGTACCATTATATGGGGGCTATGCGAAGACGTGGACCTGCACAGACAATTTTCTGTCTTAGGCTGTAGTAGACAATACGAAGTGCAAGTACGAAATTCGAAACAATTCCGGCGAATAATGTTGTTAAATTTTCAAAACACCGAATATAGGGAGGTATCATGGAGGTTATACAAAGACGTGGACCTGCACAGAAAATTTTCTGCCTAAGGCTGTAATATAGATTACGAACTTCAAATACCAAATCAGAAACAATTCTGGTTTATAATGTCGCTAAAACCATAAAAATACCGAATATCGGGAGGTATCGTTATATGGAGGCTATATAAAGACGTGGACCTGCACAGACAATTTTCTGTTTCAGGCTGTAATATTCATTACGAATTTCAAATAACAAATTTGAAACAAATCCGGTAAATAATGTCGCTAAAATCATAAAAATACCGAATATAGGGAGGTACCATTATATGGGGGCTATACGAAGACGTGGACCTTCACAGACAAATTTCTGTTTTAGGCTGTAATATCCATTACGAACTTCAAATAGCACATTTGAAATAATTCCGGTGAATAATGTCACTAAAATCATCAAAATACCGAAGATCGGGAGGTACCGTTATATGGGGGCTATACGAAGACGTGGACCTACATGAACCATTTTCAATACCAAAAGCCCTGCAGACATAATATGCGTTTAAGTAAAATTTTATCAACCTATTTAATTTCTTTCGGAAGCTTGATCGACATAGAATTTTATGCGGATCAAGAATATATATACTTTGTGGGGTCTAAAATGTATATTTCGAGGTGTTACAAGCGGAATGACAAACTTAATGTACCCTCCATACTATATATAAAGGGTATACAAAAATTATGTTCGGCGAGGTCGAACCTGTAATACCCTCCATCATTAGGGAAAAAATTAAATAAAATTATCTGGATTCAAACATATTCCACATTAATCTACAATTAAAAGTGAGATCGGTTGAAGAATGCAGTTAAAGAACCAAACTAAGACCATTAACATACCGTATATCTGAAAACCTTGGACACCTGTCGTAGAACCCTCTATGAACTACAAATACCGAATTTTAAACAAATCCGTTTGGAAATGTGCCTTAACCGAATATCGAAGGGTACTGTTATATGGCTGTCATGGCAAAAGGTGGACCTATATAGACAATTCTCAGCCACAGAAGTTAGAACAATTACGAATCCCGATTATCGGGAGGTACTGTTATATTACAGACTATTATGTCAAATTTCAAACCTTAACGTCAGATATTGTAGCCTATATCGTGATATCAACAGATAGACAGACCGGCGGACATCGTTAAAATATTGTTGACTTTTATGGAAAACCACAAGTGGCTATCGTGAGCACTCCAGTATTTAAATGTGAATAAATCTTTTGTGTTTCGTACCATCGCTTCTTACCGTGATACTATCAGCGTAGCCCGACGTCAAGAGATTGGACCCCAAAGAAAACAGCCACATCAGCAGAAATGGTTTGAAAGGTAAGGAAGCGGCTTGATCGAAACCAGCGTCGCAGTGGCCGAAAAATGGCTGGTGAGCTGAACATATTCGGCAAATATTGAAAAATGAGCTCGGGGTAAAGCCACTGAAATTCAAAAAAGTGAAAGAACTTACCCCGCAACAGAAAGAAAATTGACTTAAAAGAGCTAAAGAGTTGCTTCGCTTGGCCGAAAGTGGTGAACTGCCGAATTTGGTTTTCTCCGATGAGAAAACATTCGTAGTCCAGCAATTTGTAAACAAACAAAATGATCGTGTTTACTTGCCAAAGAGGTCAGCTGAAAATCTGCACCTTGGGTTGGCCACCAGAACTCAAGCGCCGGCCAAGGTGAAGATGTGGGCCGCCATAACAGCCGATGGTCGCTCTTCGCTCGCATTAATCGACCGTGGCATCAAAATAAATGCCGAATATTATCGCGAAAATATTCTGAAGGGTGTATTAAAGCCTTGGGCACGCAAACATTTTGGCCAAAGACCTTGGACATTCCAACAGGACTCAGCACCATCGCAATCGAAACGCGACACACAAGAATGGTTACAAAATGAAGTTCCTGGCTTCATTTCCAGCGCACAATGGCCACCAAAATATTCCGTTACCAATCCCTTGGACTATTGTGTCTGGAGTATTTTGGAAAGCAAGGTTGGCACTAAAAAACTGGGTGTTGAGAAACTCCGGTAATTTGGGTACCCTAATTTATACTCCATGTTTTCCGTCTGAGATTAAAGGCTCTGTGCCATAATTTTGACGATTATCAATTTTTGGATCTAAAGGCACAATGACCTCCTACCTTTTGAAGTCTACATGTAGGTACCTTTTAGGGAAACTATGGCCTGAAAACACTATTGTTGTTGTCGCTGTTTGTTTGTTCGTTTTGTTGAAAACACAAACAATAGATCATAAAAATACGTACGTACGAATTTTAAACTTCCCATAATAGTTAATTCATTTCCCTTGCACAACAATAACAACAACTACAACTACAATTTGATGAAATGGGGCTGGGGCCAACGTCATGTTAAATTTTCGAAAAACAAAACAAACGAGCGATACTTACCATATCTTCTTCATCCTCCATATAATTTACATTCAACAATTGTTGTTTCCATGCTAATACAGATGATAAATTACATGCTGCTGGATCGCCAGCGATGCTACTGCTACTGCCATTATTATTGTCTGTGTTGGGGGAATTTCGTGTATTTGGGGGGCTTAGGTTAGGGCCTGCCAACACTTTCGCTGAGCCAGCTGATGATGGTGATGATCGCATTGTATCATTATTCTCCGCAACACTTTCACTGCTGCTGATGCATTTATTTGGTTTTCCCCCATACTGTAGGCGTTGTTGTTGCTGCTGCTGCGACTGCTTTTGCAGAATAGGTGATCCCCTCATCGAATGTTGCTGTTGCTGAATTTGTCTCACCGAAGGTGTGGGCGATTTACCAAGGCCGCTGTCATTGCTGTCATCCGCAATTATGGGGGATTTGGCGAAATATTTCGTAGCATGTATCCGATCGTAGTCATAAATAATGGCTCGCAATTTAGGTTCGGTCAGGCTATAAAATATGCCAATATTTCGAAACATGTGATGCACCAGGCTGGAGCTAACATTGGAGGCCAGGGTGGCAGTGCTGCTGGCAAAATCCGTAATGGTACTGCCACTGAGCGATGTAGAACCCAAGGTGCTGTCCAGGCTACGATTGCTGCGTATGGTGGAATTACGATCCTGACTACTCAGAGATTCAGTGCGTTTAATGGATGTTATCGAGGGTATGTTGCGGTCTGAATCGTGCTTGTCATTGCTGTTGTTGTTCGAGGTTGAGTTTGTGGTGGTAAAAATAAATTCCTCATCTGGTTCCCACTCACTGTGATCGTCTTCATCCTGTTCGGTTATGCAAATATCGGGAATAGAATCCGATTGACCTTGCTTTTTCAATTCCTCCAGGCTGTAGTAATCCTCATCGCTGCGAAAATGCTCCTCTACCTCACCCACGGTTTTAAATTTCCATATGGGTTGATAGATACTCTCCTCCTCCTCCTTCAGCTCCGCTGCCGAGGCCTGGTTTGAGTTCCGGGTCTCCTCACAAAGTTGTGCTGGGGGTTTGGTCATTTTGTTGCGTTGCCCGGGTATGGGGGGTAACTGCTCCGTGGAGGGTGATAATTTGGTGTGCGGTGACCGTTTGGGTACAGCGGGTGGAGATTTACGCGTTTTCTTAATGTTGTTATTATTATTATTATTGTTTATTTCCGAATTGATTAATGATTGACTCGATGTCATTTGCATTTCATTATCGTTTTTCCCGTTCGACAGCAGTGAGTCATTTGTCTTTCGCACAATAATACGACCGTATAGACTACCGTTTGTCTTCATCAAGTCTAGCTTCAGATCAACACTACCGGACGACGTTTCAGCTACAACTGAATGTTTAAGCGGAGGTGGTGCAACAATCGTGCTACTGTGATCGTCGTCAATGCTCCACAACGATCTTTGTTTGTTTTGTGAGCTGTGAACAACGACGCTAAGGTAACGGAGAAAACGGAGATATTTTCTCACCATTTGCTCGTGGCTTAAATGTTTATATTTCTCGCCCGCTTGAGAGACCTTAACTAAAAATACCCACAATACCCGCTCATTGTAACTGTAGTGCAGAGCAATTGTATTTAGGCTCGCGGAGAGTTGTAGAGATTGAATGAGATTGTAAAAATCAAATATGGGCAGTTGTTCATCGGTTTGTTTATTTGCATGGACGGCGTTAATAGCAAATGTTGCCACCTCCGGAACATATGTCGATGTTATTAACTGAGATTCTTTGGCTTCCGTTTCCTTCTCGTCATCGTCTATGGCATGTGTTTGTTTAGTGTAGTGGTGATGGTGTTGTTGTTGCTGTTGCTCTTGTCTAAGTAAAGCTTCAAAGGCCTTTAAAACATTTCTCTCATGGATGCCACCTCTTTTGTTTTCTAGATTTCTGGCATTTAATTTTAAACTCTCTTCTATATGTGCCGTGCTCTCAATGGAAGAGTTATTTATTTCCTCAATTTCTATATTTTTAAGAGAGTTATTTATTGGACCCTTAATCCTCTCTTTGGAATTTCTTTGCTCATTTCTATTGTCTGGAATTAACTCTTCTTTGAAAGAGTTTTTGCTTTGCTCATTTCTATTGCCTTCCGTTAACTCTTCTTTGGAGTGGGGTTTTTCATTTTCTTCTTTAATTTCTCCATCTCTGAGAGAGTCAGTTATTTCAACATCAACTCGCTCTTTGCCAAAGTCATGTCTTGGCTCATTTCTGTTGGTTTCCGTTAACTCTCCTTTTGAAGAGTATAGTTTCTCTTTACCAAGAGCTGTAATACTCTCTTTGGGTAAAACCGGTAAATTTTCATTGTTATTGATTGGTGTCGCTTCTGCTGCCGCCGCTTGCAAATTAGGGGTTTCCTCCAGGCGCAGGTACATACCTTGACGTTTGGCTTTGTTATGATTTGTATTGGCTTGACGTAAAGGTATGTCATTGTGTGTTCTATTACCACCTGAGGCCATGGTATTGAATGGTTTTTGTTGTTGTTGTTCTTGGTAAGGTTGTCTTTTCACTTGTTTATTTATTAAATGCCACATAAATTCCTCAACCATTTGCCGATAATGATCTTCTTCGTTGTTGGTAGGTAGGTAGTCAACATCAACACTGGCCAAGGACTCTGTTGATGATATGCCACCAACACCACCACCACCTCTTCTAAGTGTCACAATTTCCGTTGAATCTGTTAAATCTTTATGCGCTCGGATATTTGACTTATTAGTCATTAACACGTTTTGAGAAATTTGTAAATGTTTTGAAGTATGAGTTGTGAAGGTGGCGCCCAATTGATAACGACGTTTGGCCGGTATGCTTTTGGGATAGCACAAACACTCATCGAAATCTTCAATGCCTAAAGCTAACAACCAGCTATTTACACCATTCAACTGATTGTTGACATACTGATGATGATGATGGTGATGACGCAGCGAGGCCAGCCATTGGCAAATGCTGGCATTCAAATAAACCGATTGTAAGCTGGAATTATTTGCAGTGGGAGCAGCCAATGTCTCTATAGAATATTGGCTCTCCTCTTGATCGACATTTGAGGAAGCCGATCTTAAAAATTTCGCCTTGGAAATACGTTTCTTTTTCGGTCCCTTTTCGTGTTGACTCAGACTCTGGGTGGAGAGAAATTCCTCCTGCGACTTAAGTAATTCCAAATCTCTATTTTTTAATCTACCATAAATATGCTGATCACTACAGCTGGTGGCACTGCGTTTTAGCTCACAAATACGCTGCAAATCGAAGGTATCTTTGGTATGGAACACCTGATCATAACCCTCAACGTTGTGAACAATTTCCAAGGCAGCAGCCGGGGACTTTTTCGTTTTCAAATCACTTGAGCGATTTTTTCGCAGAGATTCCCAAAAACTGGCCAATCGCTTGGGTTTGACACTTTTATTGAACGATTGAGATTTGCGGATTTTCACTTGTTTCTGTGGTTTTTTCTCTTCTTCCTCGCACTTTATTAGACAATCTTCACTACCCGACTTTTTCAAATACTTTTGTTTATTCTCCTCCTTCACCTCTATCTCTTCACTTTCCTCTTCCCGAAAACTAAACGTTAATTCCAATTGTTTATGCTTACGACACGCACAATCCTCGGCATCGTTACCGCTATAAAATTGCGAACAATACTCACAGATATTCTCGTAAATATTATTTGTACTCTCGACGGGTGTGGGTCCCAAACTTTGGACACCATTCACAATACACTCACAAAAACTACACAGTGGACCGCGAGCGCTAAAGACACCGTAGTTACAGCCGCGACATAAATTCTCGTAGATATTATCGCGCGGTCCCACCAGGGCGGTACGAAAATATTTTTGCAACAACACTTTCCGATTCCCGTCCAAATATTGCCGATCGCCAAAGTCGATGTTTTCGTAATTACGTTTTTCCTTATCTTTGTCGTCGACGGAACTCGACGTTGTGGAAGATACCGAAAACTTGCCGTTTAGTTGAGTGCTTGTTTCGTAAACGAACTGCTGAGCACCATTAAATGGACTGGTCTGGTTAGAGTTGTTTTCAACCGCCGCCGCCGCCAAATATGAGTATATCTGATTGTTATTGTTGGCTGGGGCGATGACGTTTTCTCGTTGATGGGGAGCCATGAAATTCTCATAGAGAGCCGTGGTGGACGCTCCATCACAGCCAAGAGCCGTAGCAGCAGCCGCCTTGGGCACAGACGATCGTTTGTTTTCATATTTCATGGTGTTATGATTGTTACTGTTGTTGTTGTGGTGGTGGTTGTTATTTTTGTTGTTCTTGTAGCAGTGGTTGTTGTTTGGACTATATTTGTTTGTATCTTTCTCCTGACTCATTGTTGGCTTCGTGTGTTGTTATTTTTGTTGTGGTTTATCTGAACACTTGCGGTTTAATCACGGAGACCCCATACTTTTACTCTCTGTTGTGTAAGTTCTCTTTAATTTTTTTTCTTAACAAAATATTTCTCTTTTGCTCACTCTCTCAAAAGATAGTTGTTTTTCTCTCTTTCTTATTCTCGAATTCTTGTTGTTTTTGTTTATTACGATTTATTAACACATTTGAACTTCACGACTTTTAAATAAACGAAAATTTAATTTTTTACTTCTTCCCCGGCCCATAACCAATATTTCTACTTGTAAAATGAGGACCCTCCCTGAGGGAGAATCTGTGTAAGTGCTCGTGTGAGTGTGTGTGCGCGTACACGCGTTTTCTTTTGTGTATTGTAAATGGGTTCTTGGGGAGCGTATCATATGGCATTCTGCTGGTGGTTGGTACTGTTGCCGCATTTCTTAAGTTTATCTTCAAAGGTTATGGGCTTTTAATTGATCATTTTTTATTTTTTGTGTGACTGTTTGTTATTTTTTTCATTTTGTTTTGTTCCCCATTTTCTTCATGTCCATGTTTTTTTGGTACCATGGCATTATTGGTTATGTGAGGTTTTATTTATTTTTATAGCTTGTTTTCTTTCATTCACGATTTTGATACAGTGGGACGAGAGTATAAAATTTACACAAGGCTCGAATAATGCTCGACAACTCAAAAGTGCGGTAAGTGAGAGCGAATAAAGAGGGAAATTTTGACAGTTGAGTTTGCAAATTCTTGCTCGGAAAAGATTCTGGGTAAGAGATATCCATTATCATCAGCTGATTGAAAATCAGAAAAATGATAAAATGCATTTAGCCTTGTAATTGTAGGTCTTCCTCAGAACCCGAATGGAATTACGGGCTAAATGACATGAACTATACGGTCTTCGCCCTCACAAATGGGGACAAGATGAGAACCCGTATATTTGCGAAAAGAACCTTAAATCTAATACATCTTTCTAATTTCAGTAAAGGGGACATCATCACCGCATGGATCGATGGAGATAGTAGTAGTAGTGGTCAACACAACACATAGAGATGTCATAGACCTGTTAAAGAAAATGCGACATCATGCTTGGATGTGATGCAAATGCCCATTACTTCTGCAGGGGAAGAAGCGGCACGAAAATCAGAGGTGAGTCAGTATTCAATTTTATTCCCAACAATAATCTTAAAATATTTACTCTGGGTCACACTATATTTCAAAATAGCGTAATGGGGAAGCCACGGATATCAGCCTCTCTAATATTTACGACTCTGCTATTAGCAAATAGAAGGTATCTGACAAGTGCTCCGTCTCAGATCAAAAGATGATATTCCTTCAGGTGCCTAAATGCGGTGTCAGACAGAAATCTTATAGGAACCCAAGATGGACAGACTGTGGCAAATTCAAATCTCTTAAGTCAGAACTGAAATATAATCCGCGAGACCTGAAATGCTCGAGAGATCAGTGAATGTTTTTAAAAGTGTCCTTAGCTCGCTATGAGAAATCTTGTCCAATCACCTAACCTGAGAGGAAATCGCACCCGTTTTGGTAAACTTAGTACCATACTATTCTTAGGAAAACAGTATGTATTCTTAAAGGGGAAGGGGGGCTGAGGTGTTATAAAATATGTCTTATTGCGCTCAATACATGCATGTACTTTAGATAAGAGTAGGGAGCTGAAACCACAAATCGTACATCGGATGTATGTCACAGTGGTCTTACCTAATTGATCTACCGGTGCTTCGTCTGTTGGCATGCGATTGAGTCTAGATCGCTTATATCCAAATTAACCACCTTGCAAAGGACGGCGTTCTTACTGACAACCGGATCTTTAAAGAGCACTCCTTGGTCACTGGATTTTTCTGGCTAAAATTCCAGCATCCAGAAGTGCATTGAGATTTGGAAAAACGGGAGTATACCCTTTTCGTGTTTTGGAAATATATGTCCTCAAAAACCTTTGTTGGATCCCAAGCCATAATAAAAGAAAACCTGCTTCTAGAAGGTCCTCGCCGCAGGAGCTTCGATCATATGGCATTTGGAAACTGCATGCAAGGTATGTAGGACCATCTGGCCGGTAATATCGAAAGGAACATGTTGCATTCTATCAAATTGTAGGCCAGATCTAAGAATCGCTGTATTCTAACTTCTATATCTTCCCTTTACCCTGCCTCCAATTTTCAATCCTAGGATGAACCGAAGGACTTCGAAAGAAGCACCTGTATAACCTAATCAAACCATATGTAAAAAAAAAAAAACAAGTTAAAAAGCAGTAAGTTCGGCCGGTTCGAGCTATGATTACCCAGTAAGTTCGGCCGGTTCGAGCTATGATTACCCTTCACCATTTGGAACGAATTTGGAATTAAAAAAAAAATAGAAAACAAGATTCGTTAAAAATTCTGTTAAAATTTAAAAATACCGAATATAGGGAATTACCATTATTTTAGGGTCCATACGAAGACCCTGACCTGCATAGACACCTTAGGGTACAAAAACATTAGAAGAAATGTGGCAAAAACCATTAAAATGCCGAATATCATGAGGTACCGTTATATGGGGGCTACACCAAAACGTGGACCTATAATTACAATGTTTCGCCACACGAACTAGGACCCATTATGACCCACAAATACCAATTTTTAGATAAATCAGTGAAAAAATGTGGCAAAAATCATCAAATTACCGAATATCGGGAGGTACCGTTATATGGGGGCCATACCAAATCATGGACCCATACATGCAATGTTTCGCCACCTGAGCTGGAACCCATTATGACCAACAAATACCAATTTTCAGACAAATCCGTAAAAAAATGTTGCAAAAATCATCAAATTACCGAATATAGGGAGGTACCGTTATATGGGGGCTATACCAAATCATGGACCCATACATGCAATGTTTCGCCACCGGAGCTGGAAACCATTATGACCCACAAATACCAATTTTTAGACAAATCCGTGAAAAAATGTGGCAAAAAAACTAAAATACCGAATATCGGGAGGTACCTTTATATGGGGGCTATACCACAACGTGGACCTATAGATGCAATATTTTGCCACACGCTCAGGGACCCGTTATGACCTACAAATACCAATTTCCAGACAAATCCGTGAAAAAATGTGGCATAAATCATCAAAATACCGAATATCGGGAGGTGCCGTTATATGGGGACTATACCAGAACGTGGACCGATATATCTCATTTTCAATACCAACCATCCTAGACACAATGCAAATAGCTCTGCTAAATTTTGGCGCTCTAAGTCAAATAATGTGGGTTGTATCGTGATTTCAACAGACAGACAGACAAACGGACAGACAGACATCGTTAAATCGACTTAGAATTTTAAGCTGATTATGAATATATATACTTTATGGGGTCTAAGACGAATATTTAAGGATGTTACAAACGGAATGACAAAGTTAATATACCCTCCTTTCCGAGGTGGAGGGTATAATAAATATGAAATAATTCCGAAAGGTGATGTTACTTAAAACATCAAAGTACCGATTATAGTTATATGCGGCCTATACTATGACTTGGACTTACGCATGCAATCACCTGTCATAGGCTGCAGAACCCATTACGACCATCAAATTCGAAATTTGAAACAGATTCGGTTAATAATTTCCATAAAATCAACAAAATACCGAATATGAGGAGGTACCGTTATATGAGGGCTGTACGAAGACGTGGACCTGCATAGACAATTTTCTTCCATAGATTATAATTCCTATTAGGAAAAATAAATTTGAAACAATTCCGGACTATAATGCCATCATCAAAATACCGAATATAGGAGCTATAGTTATATGGGAGCTATAGGTAAACGTGGACCCATATAGTCCATTTTCAATACCAATACCTGTAGACGAACACACACATTTGAGTAAAATTTAGCAATTTACTTCAATTCGTTCGGATGTGATTTGCACAGACGGACGGACATCGCTAAATCGACATAGAATTTTATGCCGATCAAGAATATATATACTTTGTGGTTTTTAAAATATATATTTCGAGGTGTTACCAACGGAATGACAAACTTAATATAACCTATACTATGGTTAAGGGTCTAAAAACGAATACCAGAGCTGATTTGTTTGGAAAGTAGAACCGAAACCTTAAAAATACAAAAAAAAAAATATAGAAGGCATCATTATAAGAGGGTTATAAAAAAAAAATATTAAAATATATTGAAAACTTTGAAAAAAACATTAGTTGTTAAAAATAAAAATATTTCTCTTTTTCCAACCCACTGTGTGGTGTCAACCCAATCTTGAAATTTGTTATTTGCCATTAATTCAGAAAAAAAAAAACAGCAACACTTCTCCCTGCCTTTGATTGTATCAACTCTTTTTCTTCCGACATTTCAGAATTATAAATGTTGCTGGCTGACTGGCTGGTTGGTTGGTGTTGCCATCAGTCAGCTCATATCTTGCGATTTCAAAACGTCTTGTGGTTTATTAAAAAAAGAGAAAAAAATAAACAAATAACAAGAGGGGCTTTTTAACTCATCCGAATCGAGTGACTCATATCGCATGAATGTCTATATATATGTGGAGGGGTCGGTCAGCCAGAGGTATAGGGAATATGTGAAAACCAGTCACAACAATAACCAACCCAACGGAGATACAAACAAATAATCGTTGTTTACAATTTGTGAGAGTTGCTACAAAACTGAATACCTATCTGAGTTTTAAATTTTGTTTTTGCATTTGTTTTCTGGCCTAAGGTTGTTGCTTTTTGTTGTTGTTGTTTTCAGTTAACAATAATTGCAGTTAACAGGTGTTCTTAACCTACTACCAAGTCATTTATTCTTCGTATAAAGGCAAAATATTTTTTTTTTTTTTTCACAACTGCAATGTGGTGTTGAGAATCGGAACAGTCTAAATCGTTATGATTGGATATTCCTAAACTATGTTTTGGGTAATATAAACACTTTTTGGAAAATTGGAAATAAACCGGAGTTCATGAAGATCATAAGAATTAGGCAATACTTTTAGGTCGTTTAGAAGTTTCCCAAATTTCATTATAATTTTTTTTAATAAATTAAAAATCTTTTAACAAGAATTTTAGACTTCTTCCACATTCCTTATAATCAGCATATAGTAATATTCAATTTATAAAGTGTAAAAAGTTCATACGACACACTCCTTCTAATAGCTCCCTCACAAAGAATATTCCATTTTATTTCAGTACTAGCAAGTGCCCGCTACTTCATC